ATGTTTATGTGTGCTAGCTCCTCTCAAGATCAAACAGATCATCACCCCAACCGTGGCAACAGTCAGTATTTTTTTAATCTATTTCTTCAACATTCTGACCGTGTTCCCCGAGTACTCTAGTGCATACCTCGACTGGAAACTTGTTCCAGAAAACAACAAATCAGTGCTGGCTGTTTATTTCACCAGAATTCGAGCTCACGTTTCAGGTTTAAGCTTTCTAATTAACTCCATCACTGGCATTGTGTCTTTTGCAGCTGTTGTTCTTTTCACCGCCATCTTGGCTGTCAAACTCAAACAGACGTCAGAAAGGCGGAGACAGTTATCTCACGCGCGAGTCCAAAACCAGCCTATGACACACAGAGACAAACAGACCGTGAAGATGATAGTGCTGATCGCCACTGTTTTGATCGTCTGCTACACTCCAGGGACGCTGTTTGGGTTGGCAACTTTTATATATCCCGAGTTCGACATGAGGAAGCGATACGTCAACTTGGGCGTGGCCATGTGGTCACTGGGCTTCATCTTTCAGGCCGTCAACTCCAGTGTCAACATTTTCCTGTACTACAGAATGAGCTCTAAGTACAGGGCCACTTTCCATCGAATATTTTGTGGGGACAGGATGCGCCTGGATCTGGCTGCTTGATGTCCTTATTTCATATAGTCAAGGCACTGTGGCGTCTGAGAATCCCGATATGGGAATTTGGTTGAAATATTATAAACAGTATAGTGTCACTTCATACATACCGGGCAAGGGTGCTTCATTTCATTATTACAATCATTTTCACGTAATTTCAATGACAGAATCTGTGAATCTGTAGAGTCTGTAGTAACGCCCCTGACGAGATTCAGCGAGATATGCCAGGCAATATATTGTACACTGTATTGTTTGCGTCCGCAATATTGACATTTACAACCGGTAAACAGAAGCAACGATAGAGAACATATTTGTTCTACAAGGTCCGACAATTAAGTCATGAGACTATTTCCATAAAATATTGACATAATCAACAGTTTAAGATATAACCTCTATCTGATTGAAAGTAAGCCCCTTGTGCGAGTGACACGATCTAAGAAACACTGGAACAACCTCTGTAGTTCTTCTGTTGTTATGGCCCTTAAAGTCGATGTTACGACTCTTTGGATGTCATCAATGTCGTTAAAGAAGCGTCCTTTCATCGTAACTATACATCAGTCTCATGACTGAATTGTCGGACCTTGTATGCAAAGAGTAAGTGTTGAGATAATGATCCTGGCTACACTGCAGGGCCTTGCTCTCAACACAATCTGCCCAATACTCTCGAGTTTAGCACTTTTATGTGTCAGTGTGTGTATGTGTGTATGTGTGTATTCTTTGTGGATTGTTTTAAAGGCCAGCGTGTCTTTGGCATGCTGTATCCTCACGCGTGCATTAAAGTTTGACTTCGCCTGTTCTGCACTCTTTAAACAACAGCAACGTTTATTTTAGTCATAGTTTTTCAAGATCTGTGATACGATGTTGCCCATGATCAGTTTTTATCGAAGTTCATATCTTCCTAAAAGTCAGGATTTTCTTTGCAATGTAGAGGTGCTGAACTTCATGTGGTGCTGTACCCAACTCAGAGCTCATGCTGGTCTAACTTTGTCTAAAGCTTTTAGTGATCATCCCAGAAAGAGGGAACTGGCCAACGTAGATAGGACTGACTTTTTTTTCCATGTCGGAGTGCATATGTCTGGAATTCTACGAACCAACAGCCTGCACACGATTAAGCCAGATCTGTAAGACGCAAGTGCATGCAACATCCAAGCATTGAAAGAAAGTCAAAGTACAGAAATAAAATCCGGACTTCTCGTTTCTTCTCCTTCTTAGCGCTCACGTGTTGTAAACTCTGGCGGAAAGTTATGGTTGTACGTCCATCCTGCACTTTGGGCTTGATCCAGAATTCGAGTTTGTGTGTCCATTCTTTACTGATCTGGCTTATTTGTATAGAGGCTGTTGGTTCCTTGCCTGTAAAATGAAGGAAACCTCTTTAACTAGTCGCCTCTTAGGACATGGGTTTGGGGGGCAGTGGGTCAGTTCTTTGTTCTTCACAATAGAGCTCCAGAACCCAGACGAGGACAGTGGGACTGTTCTTTGTTCTTCACAATAGAGCCCCAGAACCCAGACGAGGACAGTGAGACTGTTCTTTGTTCTTCACAATAGAGCCCCAGAACCCAGACGGGGACAGTGGGACTGTTCTTTGTTCTTCACAATAGAGCCCCAGAACCCAGACGCTGACAGTGGGACTGTTCTTTGTTCTTCACAATAGAGCCCCAGAACCCAGACGAGGACAGTGGGACTGTTCTTTGTTCTTCACAATAGAGCCCCAGAACCCAGACGAGGACAGCTGATGAACGCCAAGGAAAAGAAGTATTTTCTGTCTTCTTTACCAACTGTGCTCTCAGCGATTCCTGGAAACGTTCAAGGTCCAGTTGTCTCATTGAGTGGATGGTCAATGACTCACACAAGTTTAAGAAAAGTCCGGTTGTCTCACTGAGTGGATGGTCAATGCCTTACACAAGTTTAAGAAAAGTCCGGTTGTCTCATTGAGTGGATGGTCAATGCCTTACACAAGTTTAAGAAAAGTCCGGTTGTCTCACTGAGTGGATGGTCAATGACTAATACAAGTTTAAGAAAAGTCCAGTTGTCTCATTGAGTGGATGGTCAATGACTAATACAAGTTTAAGAAAAGTCCAGTTGTCTCATTGAGTGGATGGTCAATGACTCACACAAGTTTAAGAATAGTCCAGTTGTCTCACTGAGTGGATGGTCAATGACTAATACAAGTTTAAGAAAAGTCTGGTTGTCTCATTGAGTGGATGGTCAATGACTAATACAAGTTTAAGAAAAGTCCAGTTGTCTCACTGAGTGGATGGTCAATGACTAATACAAGTTTAAGTAAAGTCCAGTTGTCTCACTGAGTGGATGGTCAATGACTAATACAAGTTTAGGAAAAGTCCAGTTGTCTCATTGAGTGGAGGGTCAATGACTCACACAAGTTTAAGAAAAGTCCGGTTGTCTCATTAAGTGGATGGTCATAACTAATACAAGTTTAAGAAAAGTCCTGTTGTCTCATTAAGAGGATGGTCAATGACTAATACAAGTTTAAGAAAAGTCCAGGTGTCTCATTGAGTGGATGGTCAATGACTTACACAAGTGTAAGAAAAGTCCAGTTGTCTCACTAATTGGATGGTCAATAACTTACACAAGTTTAAGAAAAGTCCAGTTGTCTCACTGAGTGGATGGTCAATGACTTACACAAGTTTAAGAAAAGTCAAGTTGTCTCACTGAGTGGATGGTCAATTACTTACATAAGTTTAAGAAAAGTCCAGTTGCCTCACTGAGTGGATGGTCAATGACTAACACAAGTTTAAGAAAAGTCCAGTTGTCTCACTGAGTGGATGGTCAATGAGTTACACAAGTGTAAGAAAAAATCCAGTTGTCTCACTGAGTGGATGGTCAAGGACTTACACAAGTTTAAGAAAAGTCCAGTTGTCTCACTGAGTGGATGGTCAATGCCTTACACAAGTTTAAGAAAAGTCCGGTTGTCTCACTGAGTGGATGGTCAATGACTTACACAAGTTTAAGAAAAGTCCAGTTGTCTCACTGAGTGGATGGTCAATGACTTACACAAGTTTAAGAAAAGTCCAGTTGTCTCGCTGAGTGGATGGTCAATGACTTACAGTAGTTTAAGAAAAGTCCAGTTGTCTCACGGAGTGGATGGTCAATGGCTTACACAAGTTTAAAAAAAGTCCAGGTGTCTCATTGAGTGGATGGTCAATGACTCACACAAGTTTAAGAAAAGTCCAGTTGTCTCACTGAGTGGATGGTCAAGGACTTACACAAGTTTAATAAAAGTCCAGTTGTCTTTGAGTGGATGGTCAATGAGTTACACAAGTGTAAGAAAAGTCCAGTTGTCTCACTGAGTGGATGCTCAATGACTTACACAAGTTTAAGAAAAGTCCAGTTGTCTAAGTCTGTTCCTCTGCTGTCTCATGTCTGTTCCTCTCCTGACTCATGTCTGGTCGTCTTCATGTCCCGTCATCTCCTCTGCTGCATGTCCAGTCATCTCCTCTGCCGCATGTCCAGTCATCTCCTCTGCCGCATGTCCAGTCATCTCCTCTGCCGCATGTCCCATCATCTCCTCTGCCGCATGTCCAGTCATCTCCTCTGCCGCATGTCCAGCCATCTCCTCTGCCGCATGTCCAGTCATCTCCTCTGCCGCATGTCCAGTCATCTTCTCTGCCGCATGTCCATTCATCTCCTCTGCCGCATGTCCAGTCATCTCCTTTGCCGCATGTCCAGTCATCTCCTCTGCCGCATGCCCAGTCATCTCCTCTGCCGAATGTCCAGTCATCTCCTATGCCGCATTTCCAGGCATCTCCTCTGCCGCATGTCCAGTCATCTCCTCTGCCGCATGTCTAGTCGTCTCCTCTGCCGCATGTCCAGTCGTCTCCTCTGTCGCATGTCCATGCATCTCCTCTGCCGCATGTCCAGGCATCTCCTCTGCCGCATGTCCAGGCATCTCTTCTGCCGCATGTCCAGTTATCTCCTGTGCCGCATGTCCAGCCATCTCCTCTGCCGCATGTCCAGTCGTCTCCTCTGCCGCATGTCCAGGCATCTCCTCTGCCGCATGTCCAGGCATCTCCTCCGCCGCATGTCCAGGCATCTCCTCTGCCGCATTTCCAGTCATCTCCTCTGCCGCATGTCCAGTCATCTCCTCTGCCGCATGTTCAGTCATCCCTTTTGCTGCATGTCCAGTCATCTCCTGTCTCATGTCCGGTCATCTTTTGTCTCATGTCCGGTCATCTCTTGTCTCATATCCGGTCATCTCTTGTCTCATATCCGGTCATCTCCTGTCTCATGTCCGGTCATCTCCTGTCTCATGTCCGGTCATCTCCTTCTCATGTCTGGTCATCTCCTCTGTACCATGTCCGATCATCTCCTGTCTCATGTCCGGTCATCTCCTCTGTCCCATGTCCAGTCATCTCCTCTGCCGCATGTCCAGGCATCTCCACTGCCGCATGTCCAGGCATCTCCTCTGCCGCATGTCCAGGCATCTCCTCTGCCGCATGTCCAGTCATCTCCTCTGCCGCATGTCCAGGCATCTCCTCTGCCGCATGTCCAGTCATCTCCTCTGCCGCATGTCCAGTCATCTCCTCTGCCACATGTCCAGTCATCTCCTCTGCCGCATGTCCAGTCATCACCTCTGCCGCATGTCCAGTCATCTCCTCTGCCGCATGTCCAGTCATCTCCTCTGCCGCATGTCCAGTCATCTCCTCTGCCGCATGTCCAGTCATCTCCTCTGCCGACGCCTAGTCATCTCCTCTGAAACATGTCCAGTTATCACCTCTGCCACATGTCCAGTCATCTCCTCTGCCACATGTCCAGTTATCACCTCTACCACATGTCCAGTCATCTCCTCTGCCTCATGTCCAGTCATCTCCTCTGCCACATGTCCAGTCATCTTCTCTGCCACATGTCCAGTCATCTCCTCTGCCACATGTCCAGTTATCACCTCTGCCGCATGTCCAGTCATCTCCTCTGCCACATGTCCAGTCATCTCCTCTGCCACATGTCCAGTCATCTCCTCTGCCAGCATCGGTCCAGTCATCACCATCTGCCGCATGTCCAGTCATCTCCTCTGCCACATGTCCAGTCATCTCCTCTGCCGCATGTCCAGTCATCTCCTCTGCCACATGTCCAGTCATCTCCTCTGCCGCATGTCCAGTCATCTCCTCTGCCGCATGTCCAGTCATCTCCTCTGCCACATGTCCAGTCATCACCTCTGCCGTATGTCCAGACATCACCTCTGCCTCACGTCCAGTCATCACCTCTGCCACATGTCCAGTCATCACCTCTGCCTCACGTCCATCACTCCTCTCATCTCCTCAGCCTCATGTCCAGTCATCTCCTCTGCCACATGTCCAGTCATCTCCTCTGCCACATGTCCAGTCATCACCTCTGCCGTATGTCCAGACATCACCTCTGCCTCATGTCCAGTCATCACCTCTGCCAGCATGTCCAATCATCTCCTCTGCCTCATGTCCAGTCATCTCCTCTGCCACATGTCCAGTCATCTCCTCTGCCACATGTCCAGTCATCTCCTCTGCCACATGCCCAGTCATCTCCTCTGCCTCATGCCCAAGCTCGTCGATTGAATGGCTAGTCTCATGTGAAGAGTGATGTGCCGGGCAACATTTTTCCTCAACATTTTCGTCATCACTATCGTGTGCCGTGGCCACAGACGTGGACTGCACTGTTCTGCCAGCAGACACAATCACCAGAATCACGGATCTGAACAGTGTTATTGTCTCTCCCCATCCACATGTCATCCAAGCCATCCACATGACATCCAAGCCATCCACATGTCATCCAAACCATCCACATGTCCAAGCCATCCATATGTTTATCCCGTTCCCTTCTCCCTTGCTCTTTTCTTACCAATCTAGCCATTCGTTACCAAGTTCTCCAGCTCATCCCTCGAGATATTTAGTTTTCCATTAAAATTCCGTTCAAACTTTTGCAAGGTTTAATAATCTGGTCGAAGTATTTCAGTTTGGCTGACCTGGTTTTGTGTATGATTCAGATTTGTGTGTGTGTCTAAGTTCAGATGTATCATGTCGTAATAGGTCTCTTTTGAAACCAGCGAATTCTTTGAAGGTTTCTGCAACATGTCATTTCTATAGTCTTGATTTTCTGTAACAGTTGTAAGTGCAATGACTCAGCTTTTAATGTCTTTGGCTCTAGTTACTGCAGACTCCTCTTTCACACCCGAAAACCAACACAACAAGCAGAAAATGGACGATAGCGAACAACACAAGACTGTTTCATACTTTATTCTTCCACTCGCTGTTATCTCAGCCGGTACATGAAAAAGTCATGTCTAGGTTGATGCAAACAATTATGGGAAAAAAAATCAATTATACTTGCACTCATCGAAACACGGCCGCACATTCCAACAATCACAATGAAGCGCGCAAACTTCCTCCGTGTTGACGACACAAACACAACTTCAGCGGGCAGACGAGAAACCGCCCATTGTTGCTGTCTGGCCAGGAAGAGCGGTCGAAGCTACATTCATCCTCCGACACATTATGGATCCACAAACACTCCTTCGTTCTTCATGCACTCCTTTTCTTGGCCCAAACGAGACTGCCCACATGCTCTTTCTAAGGCATTATATAACCTTTTAACGCCCATATTAAAATTAAGAATTTTTCGTGTTTTCCGATTCACATCAGTTTCATTTAGCCAACATTTTCTCCGTGATTCCCACGGGTTTCATCTGGCCAGCATTTTGTTCGTGACTCACCTCGCGGTCCTTGTTACACTCAAATATTCCATTCATATTTATTGGCTGACGTCGTTCCGTCTGGGACATAATTTATCGAAAAGATAATGGTTCACTACAGTAAGCTACCACATAAATCACAAAGATCAATTTCTTAACTGAAGAGGGAGGGCTTCATTTTTTTAAAGATTAATGTTACCACAAGGAACGAGGCCCCGCCCCCTCCCCCTAATATAACATAATTCGTTCGTACTGGGCCAAAGTCTCAAAACTGCTAAATGGTGCTAGGTAAAAATCACTGAAGTGCTAAATGGTGCCAGATAAAAATCACTGAAGTGCTAAATGGTGCCAGGTAAAAATCACTGAAGTGCTAAATGGTGCCAGGTAAAAATCACCGAAGTGCTAAATGGTGCCAGGTAAAAATGACTGAAGTGCTAAATGGTGCCAGGTAAAAATCACTGAAGTGCTAAATCCTGTTTTGAGAACCTCATTTGAACATTGTGTATTGGCGCCTTTGTCTAGTCTTAGTTGAAAGTTTCAGCTTCACTGCAAAAGGATTTCCCTATAAATACTTGTTTCGTTCCTGTGCCAGTGAAAGTCAAATGAACTGTACATCGCTGTCCTATTTGAACAGAACTGGTGAACAAATAATTAGTCCTGGCAAAGTCTTCAAATATAGGCATGCAGTAAACGCTTGTGACAGCTGCTAGAGGTGCCAAAGCCACCAGTGGTCAAGAGAAATGCAGTTTGTCGTTAATTAATTGAAGTAGTCAGGCATTATAAGTTGGCCATGCACGCGTATATTTATTACATGAGGTATTTCCCCAGCCCCCGCATAAACCAGCTAACGGTGGTGTTGAATATCACGATTCAACAGCTGCGCAAATGCAAGGCATTCAGCATGAAGAAGAAATAAAACAACAGCTCACAGTGCTGCACCAAGCACTAAACTCGGTTTCTGTTAATGGGCATACCATGTCCTACCCTGCCAATGCAGGAAGCCGCAAGGATGTTGGTGTCTAAGGCTAGACCATAGCAAGATGTGAGACCCAGTCCTGCTTTCACCGGATGCTTACCCGCCGTGGCAGTATCAGTTTGTATAAATATTTGCGCATGACCATTGAGTTAATCGTATGTGTCAATTACTCCACACACACACACACACACACACACACACACTCACACGCACACACACAGACACATACACACGCACACAGACACACACACACACACACACAAATGCTGTGTCTGCAGACAGCTATTATCGAATTTGCTGTCTAGACAGTGTGCTGTCTAGACAGTTTGCTGTCCCCCGCTGCTGAGATGATGTCTTTCCGTGTAGTGGACCGCTACGTGACAACATCGCCAGAACTCGGCGCTCGACATTACATAACCAGACAACACGCTGGTACCTCCCTACAAGTAAAATGCCACGTAGCCTACATGTGAAATGTACACACAACAGCAGTCCATGACAGGAGACCAGAACAACCCCAAAGAAATCACAGCCACCGAAATACAAGTAACACTCTCGCTCGGCGCCATCTTGAAAACGGAAGTCCTGGTGGATTCCGTGTGGGTTCCAACACCACCAAAGACACGTATAACAATACGTGCAGAACGGCATTTTTGTTTTTGTTTTTTGTTGGTTAGTTTAGAATCTGTGGGTTGTGATCACCTTACCACAACAATCTATATACCATTGACAACAATCTATATACCATCGACAACAATCTATTTACTTCTGACAACAGTCTATATAGTTATAGTAATACACTAAACATGACAACATCCAGGTTATGGCTGTTTCGTTTCTTCATAAGACAGCTCTCCAGTAAATAATTAATTAAGTCACTAATGCAAACTCTTTGTTTAGTCTTCATCTCCAACCACACAAAAAATGAAAATCACAAATTCAATATGACGCAATACATATCACAAATTAAACATCCAGAAATTAATAATACAATTTAATATCACCAAATGAATTGACGCTAATGAATATTTCAAAATTATTAACACAAATTGAATATCACAAAGTACCTACATATCTGCTACCACACATAACTAAGATGTTCCGCTTCAAGTATGGCTGCGCTAGCGACCATGAATAAATCAAGGCGTGGATTTTGCGTATGGTATCGGTTTTCATCGCTTAAATCAAACATCTTACCAGTTCAAACAGAGGAAGGCAATATGTTCCACCGCTGGATGCTGCAAGGAAGGTAATATGTGTGTCAGATATTGTGTATACCATCTTCAGGTGGCAACGAAGAGAGTGAAAGGAGAAGACGGAGAAATGGAGCGAGAAGACGGCAGAGACATCGGAGAGCCGGAGCTTGGAGAATCAGGCGAAAAACGGAGCGTCTGGGATTAAAGCATATTAGAGTGGGATACTGGAATTGTCGTAGTGCCAAGCAGAGAGGACCTGTACTAGAGAGACTGATTTACGACTTTCATATCCTCAGATTAAACATACAAGGTCCGAAAATTAAGTAATGAGACTGATTTTATTATGGCCAAGACGAAAATGTCATCTATGAAGCTAAGCATGAAATTCAAAGAAGACCATTGACTCACATCGTGAAGACCATTGACTCACATCGTGAAGACCATTGACTCACATCGTGAAGACCATTGACTCACATCGTGAAGACCATTGACTCACATCGTGAAGACCACTGACTCACATCGTGAAGACCATTGACTCACATCGTGAAGACCACTGACTCACATCGTGAAGACCACTGACTCACATCGTGAAGACCACTGACTCCCATCGTGAAGACCACTGACTCACATCGTGAAGACCACTGACTCACATCGTGAAGACCACTGACTCCCATCGTAAAGACCACTGACTCACATCGTGAAGACCACTGACTCACATCGTGAATACCACTGACTCACATCGTGAAGACCACTGACCTACATCGTGAATACCACTGTCTTACATCGTGAAAACCACTGACTCACATCGTGAAGACCAATGACTCACATCGTTCACATCGTGAAGACCACTGACTCCCATCGTGAAGACCACTGACTCACATCGTGAAGACCACTGACTCACATCGTGAAGACCACTGACTCACATCGTGAAGACCACTGACTCACATCGTGAAGACCACTGACTCACATCGTGAAGACCACTGACTCACATCGTGGAGACCACTGACTCACATCGTGAAGACCACTGACTCACATCGTGGAGACCACTGACTTACATCGTAAAGACCACTGTCTTACATCGTGAGGACCACTGGCCTCAATCACGTGAAAAGAAATGTCGCAAATGCTTGTTATAATTAGGAGTTGGTAGTAATTTCATACTATGCCATCTAATTTATATTGTATGTAGATATTGTAACACCCGTTGTGTTGGAGTAAATAAATGTGGTTTAATATTATCAACTATTAAAAGGTCATTTCTGTAAGTGGTTATCATAGGTGCCCCAGCACATCGGTTTACCTGGGGTCCACAGTGCTGGTAACATTA